AAATAGGTAGAAAGTGTTAAGTGGGGCCTTGGTAGGTTGTGAGAAAGAGTGAGTGGGCCTCGAGGAGTGGGGACTCTTTCACCATGATGGAGGAGATAATGCATGCAGGGGATTTTTTCACCGTGATGAAGGATATACAACAGACAGGAGAAAAGCGTGAGGAGATAGAGGAGAGAAAATGGGAAATCACCGTAGGAGAGGGAAAGGGGAGATCACCGCAAGTGCTGCTGAGAGAGATGAAACGTCAGGGTAAAAACGCGTGAGATGTGAAAAAAGATAAAGTAGAAGGTTAAAAAGAGAAGGAGGATAAACTTGTTTTTTTTTAATTTTTTTGAGGTTGGGGTTATTAGTCATAAAAATCACATTTTATAAAATTTACGTGAGAAAAAATTAAGGTGGGAGTAGAGTGCTTAGAAAGTACAAATTGAGGGTATTAGAAATTTTCCCTTTATTTTGTGCAAGGAGAATCGTCCATTGGAAGTGCCTCAAATAACAAATATTGAAATTTCGTTTCTACTACATGAGTATGATAGCATTTTTTGATGTGGAAGGCAGGCCAGCTCAACATGTCTACGTCAATTGCCCCATACCATGCCATATTAACAAATTGGTACAGAGAAATCATGTTTCTCGTCATGCTGAAATGGTTTGGTTAAAACTTGGTGAAGATGATTTTAAGATGGAAGGCTTGAAGGACAATATTTCCTTGAGAGAAGCTGTCTTGCGCATTAGGAAGTGGTTCAAAGTAAGAGAAGAAGCAAGGTGTGACCCATGGCGATGAGAGGATGAATGGTGACCCCTGCGAGCTTTGTCGAGAATCACTCAATAGTTTCAGGTTTCATAAAAGATAAGCTTGCCATTTCAAATGGAAATTATATCAAGGGTTCTAATTTTCAAAAAGTTCAAATTTTTTGGAAACTGGTGGTATTATTTTGAAAAGTGTTCCTTGCTTTTCTTTTTCAGAGGAAAAATCAAACTCTTTGAACAATAATGAAGAGGAAGGAATCATTTCATAAGGAGAGTTTTAAGGAAGATAATATTATTTCCCCTTTTGAGCAGAGCTGTGGGAAGAACCTTGGCGGAATTCGCTGTGATATTAGGGAGACGGATGGGGCAGGAGAAATTTTAATCTTAAAGGGAACTTGGGTTGTTGTGAGGCCCAAGAAGTCAGTTTGTGTCTCTTGGGAAAGTACAATCCCATGATAGAGATATGGAAAAGGCAGGTGGATAACACTCTGTGGAGATGATGGGATTAAAGCATAGGGAAAGTACCAAAAATGATAATTTCGGGCAAAGGAGTTCTGGTGTGCAAGATAAATTTCTTTGTTTTGCCTCTCGTCCCTTGCAGGCGGATACAAAGGTGTTTTGTTGGCCTCATTTGTGTGCCTTTCCACCATGTTTCCTGAGAAATTCATGCCTTTTTGTCATGCCTGTAAATTGAAGGCTGAGGAACAAGGTTCTATTATTGCTAGTGAGTCTAATGATGAAGCTGCATACTTTGAGAGATGGTGCACACTCTCAATTTAAGGAAAACCTCTCTAGTTGGAATTAATTGTTTCATGGAGATGTGCACTCCCTTGCATCTTTGGCAAGATGTCAAATTGAAGATCTTCAAATTAAGTATTTGGATTTATCAATTTCAGACATAAAACTGCCCCGCTCAATTTGAGATTGAGTGTTGAAGTGGTTCCATGTTAAATTGGATCTTTGGAAGACTAAATATTGGTTTTTTTTTTTTTTTGGGACGAGAGGGGAGGGGAGGGGAGGGGGGGGGAAACGGTTAAATTACTGATTAAATCATCCTTGGTGAACATCTCCATTTATCAAATGTCTTTACTTAATATACCCGGTGGTGTTGTGAAGGAGATTGAAAAACTTATGAGGGATTTTTGTGGGGAGAAGATGAAGAAAACAAGCAATACCACATGGTTAGCTGGAACAAAGTTCGTGATCTGAAGAAAGAAAGGGGTTTCATGATTAGGAGTCCGAAAAAGGTTAATGAGCTTTTGCTTGCTAAATGGTGGTGGATGAATTTACACTGTTGTGGCAATCGATTGTGGGTACTATCGGCAAAGTATAAGGTTGAATCTAATTCCCAAATTACTGGAAGGTGAGTTCTCATTCTCGGAGAGGTATTTGGGGGTGTAAGAAAATAGTGGCCAGCAATGTGCGGTGGATAATTGTGAAAAGGGATATATTATTGTTTTGGCATCATAAATGGATTAGTGAGACATCTTTGAAATTTATTAATCCAAACCTTTTTTCTAGGGTATTGAATCATGCAGCTAAAATTCAAGAACTTTGTGATTCTCAAGGTCCCATTCCTTCTTGCAATGTAATTCTCGCTTATTATAAAGTGGCTAATACAGTTTTGGAGGAGTTTCTAATACTGTTTTTGAGGAGTTTACTAGACTGCTGGAGAGTGATGAGCTATTCTCTGTGAAATCAGCATATAGACTGCTTTATCATAATAGAAATAGATTAGCACAACTTTATTTGAAGTATATTTGGAAGCTACCCATTCCACATAAAATCCAAGTTTTCTTATGGGCGTCAATGCAAGGTAGGTTATTAACAGTTAAATGGAATTTTTTATTATACATGGAGTTTTTTATTATACATGGAGATGCCACGTAAAATGGAATTTTTTATTATACATGGAGATGCCGAATTTACCAAAATGTGGACATTTATTATGGAGAATTTTCAGAACAATAGTTTTGTGAGAGGTGCGGATGGAGAGAAATAGGAGAAATTTTGAAAGAAGGGCTTTGGAGTTGAAGAAAGTTCAAGAAAGGATTTTACATGATGTTTGGAGTTGGTACACGGTTACGAAGGAAGGTCATGGGACAGCTAAGGTTGATAGTATTGTTAACATATAGAACCTTGTCTTGAATGTTTCTTCTTTGAAGCCGAGAGGGAGAGGGATTGCTTCAATACCAGGTGGTATTAAATCTAATTTCGATAGAAGTTCTCTAGGAAATCCAGGAGTGCCTGATATTGGTGGATTGGCAAGGAGTTCCAATGGTAACGTTATGTTCTCTTTTGTTGGACCGTGTGGAACTTTGATTGCTAGTAATGCAGAATGTTGCAGGGCTGAAATTGTTGAAAAATAGAGGTCTAGTTGATGGTTTTGTGGTGGGAGGGGAATCCTTAACTGGTGCAAGCGAAATAGACCGTCGTGGTTCTTATTTCAGGTTTGAGCAGAGATTATAGACATTACTAGGGGGATGAGTATATCTTTCCAACATGTTTATAGAGATGCAAATGACTCTTCTCTTGTAGTTTCTCATGGGCTTCTCTCTTGAGTTCTTTGTTGTTACTGTGTAATCTTTGATGTATTGTTTTCTCTTTGATTAATTAAGACTAGTACTCTTGTCAAAAAGAAGGAAAAAATGCTACAATTGTTAGTTAATCATCTATATTCATTATTGTAGAATACAATGCAACACACATTTGAACTCGAAAATTACGTCTTGAGGAGCCAATTTTGAATGTTCATTCACTACACGGGTGCTACATGCATATTACAAACTCTTATCTAAATGATGCCAGTAACACACTCTAAAATCGAGATAAAAATTAATAATCCGAAGAGCAGAAAATGAAGGCAACAAATTGAAGGGTAGTAGGTTTTAAAGTAGGGCTGATGATGACTAAGTTACAAATGTAGTCTATTGTGATGGTTGACACTAATCGGCGTGTGTTCGTGATAGTTGGAATTTCTCTCTCACATGTCGTTTAGATAGATTCCCATTTGACAGCTATTATTTGTGATGAAATTTTTCGAACTGTCTTCGACAGTCATTTGAGTTGAAAATATGAGTTGCACACAAAGAATGCTAAAATTAAAGAAAAGAACAGTCTACAAAAAGACCATTTATCTTCTGTATATAGAGGTGATAATTATTTGTCCCCTAAATTTCAAATAAATGGTTATAAAAGTTTCATTGAATAGACAGTTAAAAAAAAAATTCATACTTAATAACACACGCCAAACTATCTAATTTGACATCCAATGAATGAAAATACTCACCTCCATGTACAAAAAATAAATGGCCTTCTCGTAAACAATCCCCTAAAAAAGCATTAAAGAGATTATTAGAGAGAGAATCAACAACAATTGATCTGAACGCTCTATTTTGTTACTATTGCCATGGATGGGTTATTACTAATGGAAGACCGAAAGAGAGCATGGCTGAGTTATTAACAAGGGAAGAGAAAGGGAAAGACACAGGAAATAAATATTTGAATTAAAAATCATTATATAAACCTTCCTAGTGTTATCATATTTGTTTCGGAGTCTTCTTTGATTTGGTTGAAAAACGAAGCAATTCGTTGCTTCGACCAATTCGAAAGAAGACATCGGAATTTTTTTAAAAAATTAATAGTAATAAAATATATGTTTATATAAAAAAATTTATTGAAATAATAAATATTTAAAAATAAAAATTCAATAAAAAATACAATCATATGCTTTGTCCGAAGGGGCCTAAGCTTCAACCGGAGAGGCCGAATCACATTTGTCCTTCAGCCAAAGAGGCCGAAGCTTCAACCAACGAAGCCAAATCAGACCGAAGTGTACCGAAGCGGGCCCGAAACAAGCTGAAGCGGATGCACTGGAGCTTCACTTCACTTCAGTCTAGGCCAAATATCCGAAAACTTTGGCTTCTTTGGCAGAAGCGAAGCAAATCTAACATTGAACCATCCATTCTATCACCAATGTTATGGATGGGTTGAAACCAAACAATGGGTTGAAACTCATCAACATACACATGTGCTCCCAAATTATCTAAAAAAAGGAAAACTGCCGCTACTAGGGAATCCAGACGGATTACCACACACAAAGGTCCCATGTGCCCAAAGCTCCCAATTCCCTAAGGGAACTACAAGCGGTAGCTTCAGGGATTTTAATACCCTTGACCATATGATTTAATTTTTGGGTTTCTTTTATTACTTAGAATTCTGCTAAAAAACAAAATCTCCTATACATGAATACATATCTACATGAATGCATTAAACACTCTTAATTTCCAATAAATCATCATCATCATCATAAGAGCTCTACTTTTCAATCATCATCATCATAAGAGCTCTACTTTCCAACAAAACATACAAAGACCAAAATAAACAAGATTCATAAATAAAGAAAACAATTTCCAAAAATATTCCAAGAAGAAAAAACTATTTAACATGTGGCGAAAAAATTGCACTTTTTTTTTCAATGGCTGGTACTATTTCTTTTTCATGCACCTCAGTTTGTGCGAGGTAAGTAAAAACCTTTATCTTGCTTTTCCTTCTTGTAAATTCCTTAGCTCATTAGTATTCTACGCAGCTTTGACGTCACAAAATCTCAATCTAAGCTTCATGCTATGGGTTTGGACAATGATTTCTTCTTTGGAAACATCTACATTTACCACTTTTACTCTCTTCCCAAGGGCTGGGACATGCACCATCTTACCAACCTCTGGTTTTCTCATCTCTTCCACGTTTGCCAGTTGCACTGCAAAACAGCAGCCATGGGAAAACATTATCATAAGAAATTGCCACGTTGAAAAATATCTCTAAATCTACACTTGTGCTAATGTTGATTGCTTTCATCTATGTTGTATAGGTTAATGGTAAGGGGATGAGGGGCCAAAATGCAACTTTTTCCAAAATTAGAACCATCTCTGAGTGAATAAAGCTGCAATTGCATTTTCAAAGATACCAAAAAGAATGATATGGTCTATTCCTTATCTCTCTTACAAGGCACATTGGGTGGAGCTCCCTCTCTCTCTCTCAGCGGCAGGCTAGGCTGAAGGACTTGATGGTACTGCATATGGTACTCCCAGAGAGAGAGAGAGAGATGTGCCTCCTCTAATTCATGTAGCATGACTCCATGAAAGGGATCCCCATGACGAATAGAAGAAACTCCTCTACTTCCATTTCATAATGGCATGTAATTTCTAGACTGAGTGGCATTTTCATAATCTCCAAAAAATAAGCTTGTATGGAACCATACTTGACGATGGCTGTGTTGGTTGAGTTCGATTTTTGCCTAAATCTGCTACTCTGCTATCATGGGATAGTTGAGCTGCTGACACACGAAACCTTCGTAACTTGTCGTGTAGGATGGATCGTGCCCCTGCTGCATACTCAGAAATTTCCTGTATTTTCCTTTGTCTTTGAATGAGGCAAAGTTCGGTGATCTTGTGATTTACTTCCACGAGCTTATCATAAAGTTCTTTTGAAAGCCTGCAATAAAATAATAGATATGCCATGGAAAAGATGTTGGGTGAATGTGATCATTAAAAGCCTTCTAAGTACTTGTAAAATGAAATGATATAGTGGAACATGAATTCAGTGGGAGTGTGGTCCCTCGTGGAAATAATGTTTGCTGATACCGAACTATACTTGACAGTCTAGACCAGTTGGTTGGGAAAAACCTATGTTACCTGGGCATAGAAAATTAACCGATATGGGTTTTAATGGGTCATCCCTTTATGAGGTTGGAGTATGCCCGGATGAGTAAGCCGAGAGATTGTGTGACTCTTGTATGTGATGGTGGCCTTTAGAGACGGGGGCCAAAGCCGCATCCATGTACTATCACACAGAATGCATAATGATAGACCGTTTCGAAAAAACAAACCACCTTTTAAGATGAAGCTTATGCATGAGCGAGAGATACATCTATGGGCCATAGGAGTTGTGGTCGCATCAGGTCTAAGTGACCTTGATACGTCTCTAGGGGAGAACCTGAAATCCACAGACTGGAATTGCGACCCTTGGCTCATCGGCCAGACCTTGGTGACCCACTAATGAGCTCCTGTATGGACTGTGGGTTATGAGAAACACTGGGTCCGTTGATAAAGTAAGTGTGGACTGTAATCTACAGTTGAAGGTGGAGTGCCCCAGATTATTTATTCCTAGACCATATGGATCATTATCCCATCTAATGAATTTAATTGTGTTTATTTTATGATGATATGATTTTAGAATTATTATTTAAATATTTCTAGATCTCTGGATATTTTATTTATAAAATTTGCATATATAAAAACAGAGATATTGATTTTTAATGTTTTAAATATTCAAATTAATTATAAAATCATTTATTGATTTTTTAAATATTTAAAAATAACATTGGGGGCCCATTGTGCACATGGGCCCACCATGCCCTAAATTGGTGGGAGCAACAATGCCACCACATGGGTGGCACGTCCCAATTTTTGGGGCTTTGTATTACCATGGGGGGGCACGCCCCATTTTTAGTGGATTTCCTATCTTTTATGGGATAAGTGGTTAAAGAAGATTTGAGTGAATCATTTAAAATGCTTGATAAGACTTGTGCATATTTTTCGATAAAACACAACATTATGATAAGTATTATTTTATTTGATTTATAACGATGGAATAATGGTCAAAGGAAAGAGGTGGATAAAGGTTCTAGTACCTTTATAATGTTGATAGCCCATCTATGAAATGGATGGCTCAAATCTCTCACCCCACAAGTCACCCAAGATCAATGGTTCATATTCAATCTCACAAAAAGAGGCAAGCCAAAGAAAACCCTAAAATTGTTTAAAGCCTATAAAAAATGATTGTCTTTACTCAAAATCTCTACACCTTATCTTTCTATCTCTTTCTTAAAAAAGTTTCTCTATCTCATGAAAGCCCAAAAGGGCACACCCCACTCTCTCATCTTTGATCTATCTCTCTCCCACATTGTGAATAAACCTAAGGGTTTAGGCTATGGAGTTCTTCTCTATCCCATCTCTCAACTATAGATTTATTGCTAAGGGTTTTAGAGTATAGCAAAAAGAAAACCATTTTTCTCAAACTAGGTTGCTAAGGGAATTCACCAAGCGTTTGAGTTTGTGAACAAAGGGTTTCATGTTCTATTGGTGTGACTTGGCCCAAACTTGCTTTCCCGGTTGAGATTGAAGGTTGATCATTGATCCCGCGCCATCGGATGGTGGTGACTCGATATGGGATGTAATAAGCCTGGTTGAGGTAATCTCCAGCACTTTATTTGTTTATTGCTATATTTAATTATATTGTTTTAATATTCCCAAGCATAAGAATTGTGGATATTTTCTTTGATTAAAAGAAAATTGGTTTAGTGGCATCAAGGTTTTTAAGATCTTGGATTTGTTAGTTTTATTTTATTTGAAGCAACAGTTATTGTAATAAGACTACTTGTAAATAATCTTTGCCAAAAGCAAAGAAAATGGGTGAAAAAAAAAAAAAAATATATATATATATATATATATATATTCCCCGGCAAGATCACATTAGTCATTCTTTCAAAAGAACGTTGTAGTTTTCTACATTTGCAGATGGACAGAGAGAGTAACAGATGCAATATCAAACCTCTAGCATGACACGTAAATATCATGTCCTAAAATGAAAGGAAAAGGTCTGAAACTGTTTATGGGAAGCCTTTGTGTCAGTCAATGTTCGTAAAATCGAACCGGAACGGTTAACTGGACATGGGCCTCGAAGCGGTTTAACCAACCTAACCAGCAAACCGGCCGATTCAACCGCTATAACTGGTCAAGTCCCGGGCGGTCAAAAAAGTGTTGAAAAAAATAAAAAATATAAAAAAAATACTAAAATATAAAAAACATTTTGAGAATTTATATATCTTGTTTTAATTTTTTTTTTGAAAAATACCGGTTGATCACCCTAACTGCCCAAAACCGGAACCGGCCACTGGCCGGATCCAATCTAACCGGGAGGTTAGCGGTTAGATCGGGCGATTTTGCAAACAATGGTGTCAGTAATTGTGTAATTTTTCTTTTTTTGAGAAAGTATTATTAAAGGGATTAGAGGGAAGCCTTTGTGTCAGTAATTGCGTAATTTTTCTTTTTTTGAGAAAGTATTATTAAGGGGATTAGAACTGTTGGTGGTATAAGACCAATGGCTAGAAATGCAATCTTTTAAAAAATTTCCATTGTATAAAAACTCAAGGGTTTAAATGAATGAGTATCCCAATACAAAACCATAATACATATATTTCAGCCTACAAACATGGTTTATACAAATTGGAATAATAAAATTCAACACCTAATATGTCCCTTACAAATCCCTTATTCAAAAATACAATTAGCTCAATACAATATTCAAATATTTACAATGTACATCTCTACAACACAGTGCATGACTTGCACTCGTAATTTCTCATTATATCAAAATTATATGATAATTTCATCTTCATTCTTCATCCTCATCATATATCATAATGTCTCATACATATCATACACTAGATCATAATAATTCGATAAGATTTCAATTCGCATAAACAATAATGCACAGCATTAAAATTCACACCGCAAGATGAAATAACAATCTCAATATACACAACACACTCAATTTAACCAATCATGAATCCATTTAATAACTGTAAATACATCAAATTAACATGCAAACATACATGGAGAAACTATGATTCGAACCTCTTGTGTCCGGGCCACGAAAGGGCCCTTTGAAGACTTAATTTTGTCTCATTGTCTAAGACACGGGTGATAATAATAACTCAAGGAGATCAATCCAATAGGAAGCAAATGATAATTTTTATTTCACTTAATGGGCATCAAATCATGAGAGAGACATGTATCAAAATAACCCTTCAAAGTTTGAGAAAGATACTACACAAAATAAAGAAGTTATGGTAAAACTACACCATGTGGTCCATAAGGGAGCACACGAACTTTTCAACATTCAAAAAGAAACTCAAGGACTATTTCATATGCTCAAATATGATGAAATAAACATCTCATCAGTTGTATATTCTCAGTAAAAATTTCAGAAAAATAAGATCAAAAAAATCAAGTTGAAACTACTCAAGATCATGGAGTAAGCAAGCTAGTCTACAAATACCATGGGTATGGACTATACTATTACTTTGATACTCTTCAAATATCAAGTTTTCATGACCAAACATGAAGAAAGCTACTGTAAATTAAGAATTACAGAAAGCTTTGATAATGGAAATGAGGTAAGAATTAAAAATATACGAAGAACAATCAATACCTTAATGAAGCAATAGTATGGGCTTGATCACATAAATGAAGGACTACTCCATGGAAGGGTTTCAAATGAAAGCTCAAGGAAGAAGATAGTTTCATGGGTGGCTACATTTTTGTCAAGGGCTCTCTTTCTCTCTCTTTTAAGTGAATACTCAAGTTAGGGTTATAATTGATCCCATAAGCTACTTTTATACTTAGATCATAAAGATGGATTTGATCATGATCCTTGATGCCTTAGATCAATGGCACATGAGAGACTTTTATCCAAGCGACTCATCCATATCTTATCATCAAGATCAATGGATGAGCTTTTGACACCCTTCACTCCTCAAAACTTAGGTTTATAGCCATTTTACCTTGAAGCCCTTAGCTCCATATTTTATTTCCCATTAAGTTCAAATTCATGTTTACACTTATGCCCATGGTTTTTGAATAATTTGTGAGTCAATAAAATACAAAGACATGAACATAAAGGTAATATGGGACATCCACACATGTGAATAAAATATCTTATGATACCACTAATAGGATTTTAACAACACTAAAGTTTCACATGGGTCAAGCCCAAAGGTTACCACATAAGATATACCCACATGCTACAAAATCATATGTGGATAATAATATGAATTAAATTAATTCTCAAAATCTCATGACTTCACACATGCTAAAAATGGCACATATGAGAAAAAAAAAATATGCGACTTAAATTAAATTTAAGTCATAACAATATATAACACTTTAAATAACAAGATAACATGTTATAACATACTACCAATACAAGAATTAATGACAAATAGGTCCCCACATGGATATGACATCAGCATGATGTCATCCACGAGTGGGGAGGTCAGAGTGCCACGTGGCATCCCTATGGCAACTTGGGATCCATGTGGCATCCCCATAGGATGTCCTTGTTTGGTATTTATGTCAAACAAATTTGAAAATCACATTTTTTATAGTTTAAAAAAATCTGAAACATTCTTCAAAAATCGCAAAAATTCTCTAAATGATTTCTCAACATTATTATACAATTTCTCATCAATATAAAATCTTTTCTCATCAATTTTAGATTAATTTGGGCCAAAGGTAAATGAGATCTCTAGACTTATAACACTAATCGGAGTCTTCCATTAGACTAACCCGAATGACGCTCCACCGGTGTCTCAAGCCGACCCGATGGACCTATGCTCCACAATCTATGGCAAGGACACATAATTGGTCACATCAAAATCACTGAGCCAGAGCTTCCCGTCACCGGGGGTTCAATAGATTATTGGTGCACCCCTATGGGACATGTTCCAACTCAAATACAAGAGCATCTCAAAGCACATGTATACTAGCTCTTCTAAGTCGAATAATATTATAGAAGAGTGGCTTCCCATACGACTGTGGGTGCACATGCCATGGAACGGTCTCGTGTCAGGATACGGGCTCAATCACATGAGCCGACCATTCCATACAGGACGAATACTCTTTTAAATACTCGGGTTCTATTATTCTCGATTGGATTTTCCAAGCCCTGGTTATCACATCAACTATGAGGCATTCTAATCAATATAATCCTGACCAGGAGGTGACCCTCACACCTCCCCGAGAGTTCACACTCTCAAAACGTATACTCTCAATGCCTCAAATACTCGGGGTATATGAATTTGGGCCCCAGTGCGCCAAGCACCCGGATTCAGTCTCTCTCTAACTCCCACTGAGCATAAAACTCTTGGCTTTAAGGCCTTGAAAGGCCGCATAGCCAACAAGAATCCCTTCCAAAATCATTAAGGGGTCAAAATGGTCTCAATTAACATTTGAGGGGTTGTTTTTTCCTTTTCATTTCACTTAGGTATCTCCATATAAAAAATAAAACAAAATAAAAATTAAAAATTCCCCAATTGCCGTTGTTTAAGATTGGCAAGGAGAAACATCAGGGGCATTAAAATAATTTGATCTTGCAAGAGGCCCTAACCAAATGATGAAAATACCTCTACTGGTTCAGGATTACAAATAAAGAACACTCTAGTCAGGATCAGTAATGAGGAACACGTCGGGGTATTTTTGTCATTTGGTACATGCAAGGCATTTGGGTGCCAAATGAATAAAATACCCTTAGTTGTTCATCATTAGTAATCTAGAACAGTGTGTTCTTTATTTGAACCCTAAACAAACGACTTCGTTATTCAGTTGGGACCTCTTGAGGATCGAATTATTGAAATGTCCGGTATTGTTTCTCCTTCCCAATATTGAACAAGAGCAATTTGGGAACTTTTTCCCTTTCTTTTATGATACGAGGTACCTAAGTGAAATAAAAAGAAAACAAGTAACTTCTCAGATGTTAATTAGGATTATTTTACCTCTTTGATGATTTTCAGCCTTTTACATGACAATTATTTAGATGTGACTAATCCACAATATTAGAGTACTTCCAAGCCTGCAATCATAGAATAGATTCTCCATAGAAAAGAACTTCAATAGTTTTCTCTGGATGGGGACATTAATGAAAGCAATGCTAATTATCAAATATGAAACATGCATACCTCAAAAGAATGAACGAAAAAGGAAGGAAACAGTGGCTGGAAATTGTTAATAGTGAACATTTATGTCATGAATGATATTGTAATATTTAGATTTTTTTAAATCATTATCCTTATAATGAAGTTAATTAGATGTTATTAGTCCACAATATGATGTACGTGTTTTTTCCAGGGCAAATTGGAAGACATTACATTGCCTCACCTTGATTCAAGACTTCAATAGTTAACTTAATAAATCGCAGCCATTTAGAACTATAAGACATTCACATGACATAAATGCAGCAACTGGAGAAAAGATCCTTACACTAGACTATGTTGTGAATCTTGAACACCTCTTTGAAAGTCCTGCTTATATTTTTCCATATCAATTATGACCTGCATTTGTTATATAGTAATGAGCATTATTCACCCAAAAATATTGTAATGTGCATGGTAAGAACATTTGAAAGACATTATTCTTTGACAATAGTAATAATCTGGTCAAGTACCAATCAGAGAGAGTTAACACTACTTAAAATTGGAAGAGAACTACTTAATTCCACTTTCATCTTAATTTCAAGTCAATTACTTAACATGATAGTTTCAAGACACAATTGTTGGACCAAAGAAATTCATTGTCGGGAGCTTATACAAGCGTCGCTCATCATAACTGCAAGCTTCGCTCGCTCAACCTTGTCCTGCTGGCATACAAAGCAGGTCCTTACATACTCTTCAACATCGTCCATCTTCCTTGGCCAGGCCAATAGTAGCCCCCAAAAATAAGGCCTGCAATGTGTTCCTAGGTGACATGAGGATAGTCTCCTTGCATGTGATTTTAGATTTAGACTCAGGAGGGAGGGCTTCCCTAACAAGCCCGACATCAAGTTGGAACCAAACTAAGTCAAGATCTAGAAAAAGGGGAAGTCAAATAGGCTTTCAAATGTAATCTGTTTGACCTGAACTTTTATCACTTCATAAGGGGGTTCACCATGCCGCAAAGCACAAAAAAGCAAAAGCCTAAGGGGTGGATCCATATCATAAGGAAATATATCTATTGTGTGTTCACTACTTTCCACCTCTTGCTGCTAGTGACTAGCCAAAACAGTACTTGACCAGACTCCACAACCAGAATTGCGACACAAGTCAGGTCAACCATGTCAGTCAGGTCATCTTTTCTTGTTTATTTCCAATCCTAGAACCTGAACTCATTCCCATCATAATAAAACCTATTATTAAATCAATCCAAAACTCTAGCTAAACCCAAATTCCCTATCCCTAACCCTAACCCTTCTTTCCAAAGCCTCCACGCGTGTTACACTCGTGTAGGAGTACAAGTCCCCATGGTCTTCCAACACCATATCTTAAAATATACAAATTATGAACTCTCATATTGTTTCTCTATTATTCAATAGTGTGATAGAAAAGAGTGGTGGGAATGCTCCTAACCTTCAAAAGTACTTCATTTGTATCATCAAAGAAACTTGTTGGGCAAGTGGTTGTGAGAGGACTAGAGTGTGTTCAAACAAATACATTCGTGCAGGTGAAATGGGTTGGAGCATAAGAGGCTCAATGATTTGGTCTTCACAAAATAAAACCTCAGGTTATGACAAAGGAAATAACATGTTGACAACAAATTATAGTGAGAGGCTTGTCACTATGCAACATAGTTATCACGAAGGACAGGACCACTTGGTCCGACCAGTCAGACTACCGACCGGTGCCTTGGTCAGTTTGGCCCAATGCTTAACTGAATTGACCCAGCTAAACAAAGTGAAAAAACTTTTTTCTAAAATACTTCATATTTTCAACTATTATTCTCATTTTTCTTATATTTTTCTAAATCTAATCAACCTAGTTCGACCACAAGGTGAACCGCTTTCGATTGGACTAGACCCTCACCGGTTCGGTGACCAGTCCAATCCTCATAAGTCATAACTATGATTTACAAGGTGTTATAGTGTTTTTCCATTACGGTATAGTTGTATAATTCTTGAAGTTCTAAGCTAGTGAAATAACGCAAAATGTAGGATGATTCAAAGGCCCATATGCGTACGCCATTAACTTGGAGAAAATTAACATTGCTAAGAATAGTCGTCATGCAAAAGCGACCAGTCCTTGAATGGATCAAAGATATGTATTAAATAAATGGAAGGAAATGGAACCATCAAATTGAGGTGACCTTTAAATTCTTTTTTCAATGAAAAAAAAAAAGATCTGGAACCATCAAATCAAGGTGAACTTAAAATGCTTGTTTAAAGACTCCTAAGCTTCTATACATACACTATGGTTTGTTAGTCCTGTAAAATATTTCTCATGAACCTAATGGGTTTCAACAGAGGGGAAATGAAGGATAACGATGTTGGCAGTGAATTGAATGGTGAAGAAGGAGATGAAGACGAATATTATGACTATATATGACATGCATTTATGCGTTTTATCATTTATGCATTATGTAAACCTTTTAAGGCCCATGCTTTGTCACTTTCAGACTAAGCTTTGTTACTTATTCAGTGAGATAGTTATGTTGTGGGGCTTTGTACACATATAGGATTCATTTTACCTGCTTAATGCCCTTTAAATTCAAGGTTTATTTATGTATTTGGAGGTGGGAGTGGTTGTGAGACAGAAAAAGGGAGCGGCATTGGAGATCGTTGCTTGCTAGAAGTTCCCTAGTTTGGGAGAACCATGGGAGTATACAATTAACACATAAAAATGAAGAAACATATATATAAAAAAAAGACTACTAGCATTTTAAAATACAATATTTAGATTCAAAATTAATAGATAAGATATACTTAATATAATTAAAAATAAACGTACTCAAATAAATTTTGAGAGCAACTGATTTAGCCTTCTCACATATAAGTCCTCCACAATAAGATATTGAAGATATTTGTCATTGTAAAAGATAATAAAATACTATTTTGGTCAAATCATGTAGAAGTCCTATCATTTTCTTCACATATTCCCTTCATTTCAACTAAAAACAAACCGAAAAAATAAAACGGAGGCATGGGTAGAGAGAGCAAATAAAATATAATAAAAATAAATTTATTCGAATAAACTTCAAGTGCAACTCATTTAATTACTTGAGTCTTCTCACATAGAAGTCCATCACAATAACATATTGAAGATATTTGTTATTGTATACGATAACAAACTAATATTTTGGTCAAATCATGTACAAGTCCTGCAATTCTGTTCAATATGATGTTTTCAGCTCCTTGGGAAGCAATCCTATGTGCTCCGAAGGTAGAGAACTTAAGGCAGGAGATGACTCCTGATGTAGACAAATTTGCAGAACAATAAAAACAGCAAGAACAAATGCCAAACACAAGCACAATTCAAAGAAACCTAGAGTTTCTTCTCCACACCCAATCTAGGGTTGCAAAAGCCTAAGCTTTTCTTTCTCTTTCAATTTCTAAAAAGTATGTGGAATGACCCCTCAAGGCCCCCACAAACCTCTTATATATTATAATTTAATGCCTCAAGTACAAAAAGTGCCCAAAATACATTGACCCATATATCCTAACTTAACTTTAAAAATTCATAATTACATTTTTACCCCTATGAATAGTACCCATGAACAGTAATTGTAAATAGTACTCATGAAGTAAATAAAAAAATAAAAACCCTATTATCCCTAAAAAACTAAAAACACCTATAAATAAATCTTAAAACTAAAATTATAGTATACATCCTTCAAAATTGAATAAAAATTAAAAATAAGAATAATTTTACCAACAACAACTCCCCAGCCCCTACCCACTCCCACTCCCACTCCCACTCCCACTCGCAAGAACTATCGACCAAACAATCGAACCAGGGCCGTCACCAGTTTGATAGCCAGTAGGGTCCTGATAAGACCATTATTCATTTTGAAGTGCAGACCCTTATCTTGTCTAACCCAAAATTGGTTCCTGACATCAAGTTATCTTTGCGAATGATTTTCATCATCCTACAAGCGTATACTTCCTTAAAAACCAATGTCATGCTTGTTATGTGTTTGTTACCTTAAAAATGATTCAAACCTAGTCTGAAAAGAACACCAAAACTCTTAGGACCGATTGCAATGGTGAATAATCATCAAAGAAGTCGTCAAGACTTCTTAAAGTCATAATGATATCCATAAAGGCACATGTTTACATAGCCAAACAGAACAAAATGGGGTTGTAGAGGGTATGAACCGAAATATTATGGTGACCACATGTGCATCACTTCTCCAATCCAATGTTCCTAGTAGTTTGTAGGTAGTCGTTGTTTCTTGACTAAGTCCTTATCTTATCAATAAAATTCCTAGAAATTTCTTGCTGATGTCTCTCATGTTGAGTGCCTGATTGGTCAAGAACCATATTATTCTATGTTGCATGTTTTTTGATATACTTGCTTTGTCATACTGAGTACCATTGAAAGGAATAAACTTACGGCTCCATCTGCTCCATGTATTTTCCTTAGATATGACACCACTCAAGGTTCAAAAACGCGGAGGCGGCCGCCTAGGTAGTTTGAGGTTTGGGCTGCCGAGGCGGCGCCCAAATATAAAGGCAGATTGGATTATTCCGGTGTTTTCCAACCTAAGTTGCACTTCAAGATATTTATCAAAGTGATTTACTACTGACGATGGAGTGAAATAAATTAATATAGTTATTCATGGTTACTATTACAAGCAAAAATTCAACCCTTCCATTATATTAATTAAAACTGAATTAATGCTATTAAATTAATATAGTTACTCATGGTTATTGTTATATGCAAAAAGCTTTTTCGACTACTGGTGTAAAAAGTCTAATCATTCCATATATTAATTAAAACTGAATTAATACTATTTCTTGGTTTACTAATAAATTAGTATACTACTCATGGTAACTGTTACATGCAAAAAGCTTTTTAGACAAGTGGCATTCTAATCCTTCCATATATTAATTAAAAGTGAGTTGATATTATTTTTTGGTTTACCAATAAATTAATATTGCTACTCATGGTTATTGTCACATGCAAAAAGATTTTTGGACAAGTGGCATAAAAAGGTGCACATCAACGCAGCGTCTAAGCACCCGCCTTTTATGCCGCCTAGGCGAGCGCCTAGATCAACCCACCTAGAGCACGCCGCCATGTCCACGACTTGGCATTTTGGAAAAAAAGCCAACAAGGCAACAAGGCAGCCAAATTCTCATTCTTGGACACCACTCAAAAAGGTTATTATTGTTGTGATTCAAAATCTGATACATTTCTTTGAAGGGTTCTTTTACTTTACGAAATTAAGGTTTTGAAACCCCAGCCATTCGTTTGTTTGCTTCATATCAATGTTTTAAAATGCGGCTGTATCGCCACATATACGGCCACATCATGCGGTGGGCTCCGCATCAGAATTGACCGCATATGCGCTTTTGACCTATGCGGCCGCATATGCACTGCATCAGACCGCATCGTAGCCGCATCCCGCATCGCACCGCATCCCACTACATCCCCTTCTGTCAAAATTTTTTCGATTTTGCCCTCGAGTAGGGGCAAAATGTTGCTTTTGACCATCCAAAAATGGGGGAAACTGTTTGGGGGGGTATTAAACCCCCTAAATGATGATTTTCATCCACTTTTGTGGCTTTTTTTGCATCAAATGGAGGTAAAAAAAAAATTAACGGAATTTATTTTTTATTCAAATCCTCGATTTCACGGTTGTTTGATACTTGGATGTTGATTTGGTGCTTTTGATTGTTAATTTGGGGATGTTAGGGTGAATTTGTGATAAGAAAAATTGACTTCAAATTTCAAAATTGACTCTCAAAATGGATGATTGTATTAAGTTATTAACTATTAACTCTTCTTGAGCTTGACTTTTGGTTTGTAATATCACTATTTTGTGCTTATGGTTGTTGATGGTTGTGCTTTTATGCTTATGGTTGAGCTTATGGTGCAAATTTGTGCTTGTGGTTGTTGATTGTTGAATTTTTATGAAGCTAATTTCAAGTTTCAAGTTTCTAGTTTCTATCAAGGGATAGTGGATAACTGGATACAGAATCTTCGATAGCTAATAATTTTCAAGTTAATCATTAAACAATCACATATATCACTTTCATATTTTTTTCTATGCATTAACCTATTTTTTAAGATTTTTTAGAATTTTTTTATATTTATTGACCGCGTCGTCGCGATGCACCCACATCCGGGCCGCATCGGCGCATCGGCCCGCCCACCGCTTTTAGCCGGATCCCGCATTTAAAACACTGCTTCATATTCTATGCTTTCCAGCTCTTTCTTTTGGTTCTTTTTCTAAACCCCACATATAAATTATACTAGACATAATAAGTCTCCAATTGTCCAACACAATGAACGAAAAATCGGCCGCCTTGCTGCCTAGGCGGCTTTTTCTTCAAAACGCCTAGTCGTGGGCATGGCGGAATGATCTAGGCAAGTCCATCTAGGCGCCCCCCTAGGCATCATAAAAGGCGGGGTGACTAGGGGCCACCTTGACCTGCACCGTTTTAGGCCACTTGTCAAAAAATCTATTTGCATGTATCAGTAACCATGAGTAGCAATATTAATTTATTGGTAAACCAATAAATAATATTAATTTAATTTTAATAAATATATAGAAAGATTAGACTTTATATACCACTTGTTGAAAAAGTTTTTTGCATGTAACAGTAACCATAAGTAGCTACATTAATTTATTGGTAAACTAAAAAATAGCATCAATTTAGTTTTAATTAATGTATGGAAGGAATAGACTTTTTATGCCACTTGTTGAAAAATATTTTTGCATATAACAGTAACCATGAGTAGCTACATTAATTTATTGGTAAGCCAGAAAAGTAGTATCAATTCAGTTTTAATTAATATACGGAAAGAATAGAATTTTTATGCCATTTGTCGAAAAAGCCTTTTTCATGTAACAGTAACCATGAGTAGCTATATTAATTTTTTGGTAAACCGAAAAATGGAAGGATTGACTTTTTTGCATGTAACAGTAACCACGAGTAGGTATATTAATTTATTACATTCCTTTTGTCAACTGTTAATCACTTTGATAAATGTCTTGAAGTGCAACTTAGGTTGGAAAAAATAGGAACATCTAGACAGCCTTTGTATCTGGGCGGCCACCTTGACGACCGGGCGGCCCAGACCCCAAACCGCCTAAGTGGCCCGCCTCCGCATTTTTGAACCTTAGTCAAACAGTCCCAGTAGATAATCCTGTTGAGACTACTTCATCAGGTACCAGATTCTGCTCCTTCTGACTACAAGCGGCTAAAGTGGGGGGTGTCAGATATAGAAATTCAGGGGAAATAAAACAACACTTTTATCGCATATACTTTGCTTCCCCATTTTACAGGTGGCAATGTATACATTCATGTATCATGACACAATACATTTATAAAAAATAAAAATAAAAAAAGATGTGCCCAGGTTGCTGCCATGTTCTCACAAATCTTGCACAAAACAAAAAAAACACATACCTAAGAGTTCCTAGGATTACTTCTTAGAACTTCGTACATCCCACACAAGATCTCCTGGGGTCAATGGCACAATATGACACAGGCAAAGTCCTTTTTCAACTCCCTTTGGGAATAAAATAGTTTGGAACATGAGCATAGAGAAGACAACTCCACTCCTCTCATTCAGAGTTTTCTCCCTCCCTCTAGGGCATCTCTCTCACATACACATACAGCCCTCTAAGGATCTCATTCTTTCTTTCACCTTGCATGTGATCAGGCCATAGAGAACACCTTTCTCTTTCACACATGTGGAACAGCCTATAGAGAGCCTCTTTCTCTTTCACATAGGAACCCCTTTCTCTTTCACATGCCTGAAGCAGTCCGTAGCAAATCTCTCTCTTCCACATAAGTGCAGCCCTGAAGCACCCTCTCCCTCTCTCTCTCTCTCTCTCTCAAATACACACACAGTGACGTGGATAGAATGAAGATCCACTTTCTTCTCAAGTGAAGCTGATGGAGAGACCATCTCTTCTCTTTACTTGGATGGCTTGGAGATAGCTTCATTACTCTCACGAGGATGCCCTAGAGAGACATTCTTTCTCTCCCATGTGAAGCCCTTGAAGACTAGTCTGTCACATGAAGCCCAAGAGACAACATTGTTTTTCCTCTCATGTAAATCCTTCTAGAGGAAACCTCTTCTCTCTCTTACTAGCAGGTGCTGCCCTAGAGGAATATTGTTTTCCTTACTCGCATTTACCACTATCACTAGAATTTAAAAATCTTTCTAAAATATTAATTCTTTCTTTAAAGAGCAATCTTTTTCCAAAAAACAATTTGTCACCTGCTTTGATATTCTCAAAGTTCAAAAGGAGTCAGAAATACATGGACATCCTAACCTTTTTAGGTTTTGTAATTTGACAATAACCAAAGAGGACTTTTAGTTTGTCACATCGGACCTATGGCCATTGGGACCCAATGATCCTCTTGCTTTTACTATCACGTGGGTCCAATGGCTAGTGGGCCCCACCTGACGTACTTCAGAATTCATGTGATCATGGTTGCCACAAGTGTGGCCCACCAGCATCTAAAATGTCTCCATCCCATATATTGGAGAGAAAAAAAGTCTTATTCCAAATAGTCCTTTGGAGAAGACAAAAAGTATAATTCCACATAGACCCTCCTCTCCTTTGAGAATACAAACATAATAACTTTAAGGTTTTCTCGAGAAAGACAATCATTTAGTCTCCTAAAAAAACACACTTTAAAAATATTGGAAATTTTGAAAGAGTAGGTATGCCATGGGATGATGCTTCAACTCATAACCACGCATTCCATGTGCGCTAACCATACAATCACGCTCTACCTCTTAGACTAACCTAACATAGCCCATGACCTATTTGTCTCTCTTATAGGGGTTCATGGTGGCCTATCAAAGTTAGCCAAAATGCAGATAGACAATAATGTTGCTATGGATTTCAGACACCCCTAAGGGCAAGTCATGTTAGTCCAAGCATGTACACCAATCCCAATTGTGGGTTTCCTCTCTCAGCAGAGGCATGCGCAGACCCCATTGGTGCTCTTCCAAATGGTTATCATGGGTGCATGTTGAGGTTTTGGCCCCTACCCTCACAAGCCTCCAACCTTCTCCTGGGATTACATATTCCTCCTGGCTCACAACCATCGTGTGCACTACGACCTCAACAAGGGATAACCATAAACCCTTCGGCATGGTGTACCAGACCTCATGCGTCTTTGGAGCCCAGGGACGCTTGGTTTCTTTACTTAATCAGCTTAGATAAAGAGGTAAACCCTAGAGAGAGTCCTGCAGTACACTTGCCATTTTAAGCCCTTTTGGCCATAAACCCATTGGGCCAATCCACACTCCAACTCAAACTGGGGTGTCTTTCTTTTATGTCATTAGTAGCATTAGTGTTTACATGGGGTAATACAAAAGCTAAGGCCCTTCAAGGCCACAAAAAAAAAAAAGTTGACTATTTTCTCAGGTCTGGTACAATTTATACTCCTCCTACTCATTATGGTTTTAAGTCTGCATGTCTATCATTCTCTTCTTGTTACATCTTTATCTCCTATTTTTGAACTAAGTAATTGTAAAGAGGTTGTGAAATGTGATTGTTGGAAAACTACTACAGTGAGGATCTTTAGGCTTTGGAAAACACAATACTTGGGACTTGGTCTCTCTACCACCTGGAAAGAATCTCATTCAAAATGGATTTATAAGGCTAAGACCTTACTACAAGATGATAACGTAAGTTGGTATAAAGGGCACATGAGTATGATCCGAACTATGAGGAACTATTTTCTCAGGCACCAAACTTTCATTCATACAAAGGAACATGATTGCAGGTTGTTCTAATAGGATCAAAAATTGTTTTAAGAAATCGGATCCTCTTTAAATCTGAGTTCTAACAAATATGATGCTCTCTGAATCTCATAGGATATGATGCTCTCTGAATCTCATAGGCTAAGAACAAAAGTTGATTCATTTCTCCTTCAACACAAAAGACATGTTGAAAATCATGAAATGTGACTAGAAGAGTATGGTGACTGCCATAAACGATTGACAAAAGCCATTGCAAAATCATTGCCAAAGTATGCCTATGGTTTCAAACATATACACCATTAATTTCTCTCATTATTGCATTCAGTCAAACAGAACATGGAGGTCAACTAGAACTTCCAACAAGAGAACAAATACATTGCCAAAACAAGAAGAACTGGAAAAAGAATAAAATCTGATACACATTTTAAACCCATGTGAAACAATTCAATATATAGGAGATAATAAAGTATACCTTGTTAATCTCAGCACTAGCTGTTCCATACAATTCACGGGCACAATTCAATATAGAATGGGGCAATCCTAGTCTTTCAGCAATATTAATTGCATTTGAACGTCCTTCAAGTAAAAAAATGATAATAAGCACATCAATATATTATTTTGATAGGTAAATCCACTAATATAGATTGTAGTAATCCAACGAATCACCTCAGAGGAGCACATTAGTGCGTTATCCTGGAAAGTGAAAGGATAAACAAAATGGCTCGCATAAAACGTTGCAGTATAGAAAGTTACTAAAATAGAGGAAACATTCAACTGAAGAGATAGTACCATACAATTCTAGCATTTCATAAAATGAACATTTAATTATTCCAAGAAGAAAGCTATTTTAATAAGTATCTCATGTCATAAGTATTTCAAGCCAATTTGATTGGGGGATAACTTATTTTAGGTTTGGTGATAGCCAAAATTATTACCAACATATTTTCCTGAAAAATCTGAAGGTACTATGGTCGCTGCTTAGAAATATAAAGAGGGTGATCATCAGGACCAAGAAGAAAACCCTAATGATCTCTATAGAAGGGGATCAGCTAGAGGGTAGACCCATCTCCTTTTGGGTCACCTGATTAGGGGCTATGGGAACAATTGGCTTCTAGAGAAAGAGAGGTAGACCCTCCAACAGAGAGATAGGAGGACCTCTTGGGAGAGAAGCATGACCCCCAAACTTGAGAAGTGGTTTTCCGAGGAGTACTGAGTTTGACCAGTTTCCACTCCAAAATAAAAAGTCTCGTGGTAATCTCAAGTTTCCCTTCCCAAAAGCGATGTTGCAGTGGGAAATAGGGAGATTGATCAACAGTGTTGTTCGGTCAGGAGAACAGGTTAGAAGGGAAGATTTGCAAGTGGATTTGCCGATGTTGTGGACGCAACCTCTTTGAGGTACACCACGTAAATCATGTGCTATTGTGGAATGTTTTTTTTTTTGTGCTGTGTTTCTTGCACTTGATTTGGGGTTGTATTCATCTATGTCATAGTAGCTATCTATGTACACAATCTTGTGTGAGATCAGCGGTATTTGAAATTTTCCCAAAAATGAAATCGAGGGGTTGCATTTGACCCTAAAAACTTAAAACCAATATGAAATTACTTGCTATTTTATAATTGGTTCTCTTTAGCAACTAAATAGGAACCAATATTCCAACAACGATGGAGAGCTTGACTTTGATTTCACATGTTGTTTCCTAACTGTTTCTACCCATGTTACAAGCATAGTTACTGGGAACGAGAATGTGAGAAGTTTCGGGAAAGGGAACGGGAGCGCATAGCGAGTTTAGCTCGAAGTTCCCTGGACGGCAGAGTGAGCTCCATACACGGCCTGGGGATGGGAGCGAGTTCCATGACTTCTAGGGAGCACATTGCTATCTCGACGAGAGCGCATTGCTATCTCGACGGGAGAGGGTTCCCTACCAAAAGGGATCGCGTTGTGTCGTTCTTAGTATCAGGGTTTCGGAGTTCACTATTCCCATATATTATAAACTGGGAGCGAGTTCCATTAGATAGCATGTTTAACTGTTTCCAAATCCACGATTCCAAGGTATTAATGTAATAAAAAATCATCGCATTGAGATTGCCTTTGAATTTTGTATGCTATTGGAGCATGATGTCATACCGAATTTAGCAAACAACAGTATTGGGGTGCATTGGAGCATGATCATACTAAATTCAATGAAAAACCTTATCGTGATGCATTGGAGCATGATTTCACACCAATTTCAGTAAACAACATTATTGTGGTATACAGTACACCACTACACCTTAATTATACAATACCCTTCTCTAAACTGGCACTCGATGCTGAGCAAGATTTAACCTTCTCAAGTCTATACTATTGACACTCAAGGATGGGCTAGATTTCCCATTTTGACTAAGTTTGTAATCGACGATTGAGTACATGTATTGTGCTCATGCACGAGCATATTGTGCATTACTCCCCCAGTTAAAACACTCAAAACACCACACTAGGTTGATTGTTTTAGGGTAAAATTTTGGGAACCATATAGCAATTGCTAGATGATTTTTTTTAAAGAAAATTTTGAAATTTGAGTTTTGTGACACATATCGAGCCCTTAAAAACCTAGATGGTGACTACAAATCATTCTATAATCGGTATTCACAGGTTGCGTTAAATGTTTTAGGTGGCAGCTATGACTTGTTGGGTTCATTCTTGCATTAGTGGTGCATTTCTATTGAAATGCATCATTAACAGATTTTGTAAAACATTCTTCCTATCTTAATGAAGTGCGTTCATCATGACCTTACCTCACAATAAAACTGCAACACAGCAAACTCTTTAACCTCCTTCCAATCTTGTCCCTACTCTAGTTGCCTTTCTTTAAAATTGGACACAAGTGTCATTGCAAAATGTGTACATCGTAGAAAAATTGAGCAAAATCGAATACTACATACGAAAAAAATAAACTTTGTAGGTGTTGCTCGCTCCCATGGTATAGGATACTCAATTCCTAGTATGATGGAATCGTAGTTACGAATGATATTGGAGCCATGATCTTGGGCATGCGGATCTTTGGTAAGGAAACTCGTTCCCAAATAATAGGAATCGAGTTCCCATAAGGTACGAGATCCAAATACGCAAGGAAGCGTCTGGAATTGAGATCCAGTCACTCGGAGCGTGGGATCGAGATTGTAGGGTGGAAGCAGGCCCCTACATGGGCGCTCCAAATGCTTATGGCTACAAGACTCGAGTGAGTCCACTTGGACTCGGGCGAGTAACTCAGCCTCGCCTTATGGGCGAAGCCGAGTTACCTCGAGTTGTGTGTACAACTCAAGGTACATAGAAAGATTTCAAAAAAATTTGTAAAAAATACGAGTATGTTGTACAAATTTTTTGCATATGATTTTAGATTTTTTTGTATAGATTGATGAGTGTTTTTTTGCCATAATCTCTATTTTTATTTATATTTTGTGGATTTTTTGAAATATCCCTATTGTTTATTTCTATGCTTTTGTAAGTGTATTTTTTTGGATTTTTCTTTATTTTTGGATTTTTTAAAATGCCCCTTTTTTTAAAATCCATTTTTTCTATGCTTTTGTAAGTGTATTCTTTTGGACTTTCTGAGGTTGCTTTTGGTTTTTACTTTTAATACCTTTATTTGACTTTGTTCTTATTTTATATTTTTTAAGAAAATTCTAGGGATTTTTTTACCTGTACAAGAGACGTCTGAGTCCACTTAAACTTGGTCAAATACATCACCCCAGCCAAGGGCTGAGTCCCTTGGCTGATGCGAACTTCTAAACATTTGTTTCTGCTTATGGAGTTATTTGAGATACAGAATTCTTCCATCTCCATCACTAAGCTTCGGTGCTCAATACATCGAACAAAAGTTTGCAAGAGTGCACTCTTGAAACACAGATTAAAACAAAGAAGTATGCTTTCTCGAGACCAAAAATTACCTTAGCAGTGGCCACAAGAAAACATTGCATAGAAACTGGTGTTTCTTGGTAGCATTAGGTCGGATAGTAATTTCAGGTGCAGTATAACTTGTGTATCAATTTTAAATAGCACTACAGCTTCAATTATACATCAGAGAACTAGACTATTTTGACACAATCTGACATGGGAATGTTATAATATCTTGGAAACTAATCTTACAATGCCAAATTAAATAAAATTTGAAAAGGAAGAACTCCTATTCCTAACCCAAGTTACTTTTAATCAGAATAGGTCATCTCTCCAAATTTAAAGTTGAAAGATTTCTGAGGTACAAATGGACCAAGTGAGGAACCATTAATAGACAGCAGTGTTATTTCCTCGTGGTGGCGCATTCAGATAAAGGGGATGATGCTGATGACACCAGACTTTTTTTATTTCTCCAAATAAACTCACCATCTAGGACTTCCTATAATAATATCTGCAAAAGAAAGCAAACATGCAATCTTCTTCGCTTCTTCCCCCTTCCTCCGGTAGTTCGCCCCTGATCTCCATCCCTTCATAGTCCTCCTCCAACTTTGCTCGACTCTTCATATCTTCTTTGGGTGGAGCCTTTCAGCCTCAAAGAGACGACCGCAAAGGCATTGAAAGCTGAGCCAAAGAAGGATGGAAGGAACCAGGACTGAAGTGTAGACAACTCTCCAACGGGTCTTTCTTCTTCTCCTTCCCCTCTGAGGAAGGGGCCGCCTAGCCCTCAGCAGAGCTTCCAATGTTCGCTTCTGTTGAGGCACTATTCAGCTTTCCAAATTGTCCGACGATTTGGGGGCCTACCATCGCCAAAAGGTTTGCTCTCGGCCTCCACCATCCCTCTCCATGGATGGTGCCTTGAAACCTTCAAAGCCATTGGTAATGCTTGCAGCTCCTTTGTGGCTGTCCACTGGCAGTCCATGCAGAGCCTACCGCTCGGGTCTTTGCTGCTCATCATAGATGTTCTCGAAGCTCATAGAATCCCCCCCCTCCCCCTTTTCTTTGACTGGAAGTTGCGGGAGCTTTCTACCAGGTTTTCCTTTCCTGGTCAGCTGCTTCTCCCCCTGCCCCTCACTTTGTCTCTTCGGAGGACCCACCATGCCACGGTCCATCTCAACAGATTTTGCTGGCTTCCAACCTTCAAGAGCAATGGATTGTTGTCTCTAGGAAAAGCCAAGACCGCGAACAGGACCGTCGCAACCGAAATTTTCGACGACCTCCTCTTCAAGGGGACCTGCCACCCTCTCGCCGCCCTGCTCCGCCTCCCCCACCTCCACCACCCCCACTCCCGCCGTCTCTTTCCCCAAATGGCTATGAGCCACTTTCCCGCGCCCGGGAACCAATGTCCCACATCACCACCGCCTCAGTCAACTACCCTCTGGAGGACATGTACCCCCCATTAATTTCAGCCTCACATTAGCCACCTTTCGATGTTGACATTGCCAATCCTGTGTTCTTTAAGGACACCTCAACCTTGCCACCTGCCCCCGCCTCGAGCTTAGCTCCCCCTTTTTGTCGGTCAATAGCTCTCGACACCTGTCCTCAGCCTTCACCTACTCCTGTCACCTTCACTCCCACACTTGTCTCTCCCCCCGAGACTTCACGTCCTGCTGACACTTACCCTTTCCACCACACCTCCTCGCCC